ATCTGTCATAGTAGACGTATTTAGCGCAAGATACTGTTATATATTTACAGGTACAATTGACTTTAAACAGCTGGAGTATGTTTTTTCTATAAAACAGTTTATATTTCAGTGTATCGCATTTTAAGTTCACAATAATATATTATTTTACAGATCTTTATTACTTTTACCTTTTCCTTCCTTGGGAAAGTTTACAGCTAATATTAAATTACCGTGTGTCCATTAAAATTGATACTTTGCAGTAAAAATAAAAAACAAAACAAACAAAAAAATTTACGAAATGCTTTCATGAATAACTTCTTAACCTTTAAAATACTAATTTGTTTTCATGCAGTTCACTAGTGTTAGGATCCATACATTGTATATATGTTTGTGTAGTTTATACTTTCGCTCGTTACAACACTCAGCGTGAAGAACTGATCAACACAACATGGCTAAATTACCTATTTTCTACGTAATATATATATATATATATAGTGGTCACTAGCAGTAATTAGCAGGATTACCTGCAATATTGATAGTGTTTTGGTTTTTACTCTTGTGCACCAAAAAACCCTACAATAAAAACATATACGGACCCGCAATTAGTTTGATGTATAAATAGCTTAAACAAAGTCGATGAGTTCCATATGGGCCCATTGTTAATTCTACGGTTAATATAAAATATGTTGATTTAGCTTTTTTGCATAAGAAACTCGTTCTGCAAGAAAACAATTTTAAAGGCGAAAAATGAGGTAAATGAGGTTCTATTCTTTCGCTTCCTTGTTTCAACTCATGTTCTTATTTAATCTTTCTTGTTTTTTTTTACTTCTGTTATCTGAAGAGTAAGTGACTGCTCACTGGCAGCTGTTAATCTTACGTTGAATTTCCTCCTCTGTTTGTTTTCTCCATTAATATGGGGGGTGGGCCACTAAAGCTAGTGTTTATCGGTGGTTAAGAAAAAACAAAAAGTCCAATGTTCAATTCGTGCGTTAACTATACAAAGAGAGGAGGGAATTCGTATTAATATTATTGATACAAACCTCACTTAGTTCGAGAAGAACTTCCTTAACATATATGTATAAAATAAAAACTTTGCAGACGAAACTGTTGGCGTACCGGATTATGGATCTGAGGATCATAGTTTACGTTCCGTTATCGTCAAAAACTAAATTCGCCCTCCACTCTTAGAGGCCGTGAGTTCGTTATAAGAGTGATGGTCAAATCTCACTATTCGGTCTGATAAGTGTAGCCCAAGAGTCTGCGGTTAGTGGTGTTGATTAGCTAGTTACATTCCCTTTAGCTTACAAAATTATTTTGGTTACATTGTTCTAATTATTTACTTTTATTTAATAAAAATATCGATATTACAGATTGATATTGTTAACCACAAAAAGTGATATTGTTGAACACATTGTTAATTTCATGAATAGTTTTTTCATGAATGAAAACACTTCTTTATTTTCCACATGTGTAGACTTAAAAGGAAGGGTGGGCTTCCCATTAACATTTCATTCAAATAAAATTTACAATAGCTAATTATAGAATACAACGAATTATATAAATAATACTGAGACTCAAACATATCAGTCAAAAATGTAAAATGAAAGTCAGATTAAATAATAATAAAATATGGATAAGCTTTGTACAGATAATAATAATATAATAACAAACACCTTACAGTTCATTAACCTATTTCTTTCCAATTCCCTCAGTATTCGTCTAAGCTCGCCTATCCCTTTCTCCTCTCTATCTAATATTTGTTTTATTGCTTGTATTCTAACTAATCTTCCTTTGTTTACCACCCTTCCTTACTGTCACACCATATCGCGTGCTCCGTCGTTTTCTATCCTTTCTTACTCAATATAAACTATCTTTCCAATATTTGTTTCCTTTTATACAACTGACACAACTCAATCTTGCAATGGTTATCTCACTTCATTGTTACCCCCCGTAAATAATTAGGTGATCTTCCCACTTATCTTCTTACACCATCTTAATTCCATTATCCTATTTACCATCTTCTATCTGGCAGTATCTTCTATCCTACCACTCAATATCCACTTCACATCTTTACCATTTATAGTATGTCAATCTAATTATTACTTAGAAAATCCTAACCTATGAATTATTATATTTACTTCTATCCACCAAGACGGTTCATTTTCTTATGTACCTCTTGTAACCTGTAACAATTTTAAAAAAACATTTCCATTTTTCTACACTCTTTATTTTTTCTTTAAAATTATATGCTCTTTTTATAGTATGTTGTCACGGTTTCTTCATTTGTAACTATTCCATCTCAACATAACTTAGTGTCATTTTGTCCACTCCGAATAACAATTTTACATATTTTATCTGCACATCCTCTATTTCTTCATGCCCAAACCAGCACACACTTCTGATATATATGTCAATATAACTTTAAACTTTGAATTTGAACAGTTTTATGCACATCTGGATTTCGTCGAAAATCTCCCTTTTCTAACTATCAACTCAATTAGTTGCTACTGTTCATCTCTTTAGTAAATACTTTATATTTACTTTCCTGTTGTTATCCTTTGAAAATAATAATTAAATTATTTAAACTGCTTCACTATTACTATTTTTCTTTTTCATATTTTTAAAAAATAACTGAGTCTTCGATACATTTATATTTTATTTTAACATACTTTTTTGAATACCTTTCTTAGAAAAATCTTTTCTTCCCGTTGCCAACAAAACTGTACCATCTGACTATGCCAAACACAACTTTTTATTACTGTATTTCTACTTCTTCTACATGATTATTTCCTTACTTCTAAGTCTTCCGTGTACATATTAACCACTTGTATAAAAACTATTTGTATATTCTACTCGTGTTCTTACTATTCTTTACGTTTCTGGAGATATTTCTAGCAGTCTCTGAAGCATCCTTCCTCACACAATTATTTTATCCAATTTGTCGAATGATAATTATTGGTTATTGTACCAAACTTCACCTTTGGGAGATCCTCCTCCTGCCTTTTATTTTATGTTTACCTTCTCCCTTTTTCGTCACTTATTTCTTCACCTATGGGAGATCCTCCTCCTGCCTTTTATTTTATTTTTATGCCTTCTCCCTTTTTCGTCACTTATTTCTTCACCTTTGGGAGATCCTTCTCCTGCCTTTTATTTTATTTTTTTACCTTCTCTCTTCTTAGTCATTTATTTCTTCACCTTTGGGAGATCCTTCTCCTGCCTTTTATTTTATTTTTATGCCTTCTCCCTTTTTCGTCACTTATTTCTTCACCTTTGGGAGCTCCTCCTCGTAATCTTTATTTTTTTACCTTTTCTCTTATATCTTTTTCCATTAAAGTTTCTCATAAAGTATTCTTCCCACTCATCTGCCTTCTTACATTTAATCCATTCATTCTACTTTCATCTATATATTTCTGTAAATCTTGTTCCGTCTTTAGCCTCTCATTATTTCCATCTTATTCAACTTTTCGTTAATTTCTTATTCTCACAAATGTCTTGTATCTCTTCCCCCTGATTTTTCCTGTGCATTTTCTAGCATTTCCTGTGCATTTTCTGAATATATTACATATTTTTTTTCCTACATTCATCATCTCACCATGTTCAGATTTCTAGTTTCTCTCTTTTTTATATATTTTATCACTTTTACATTTGTTGACTTTTCCATTTTCTACCTCTTCGTCTCCTATTTATTCTATTTTCTTGTTTTCTATTTTCTCAGCTTCCATTTTTTTTTCTATATTTTATAAGATCATGTTTTCCCACTTATAAACTTTGTATACCATCAATATGTTTCTGTTCCTTTTCTTTTATTTCACTTATTTCTTTCTGCATTTTCACTGTTATCGTATAAAGGTCAGATTACACTCTCTCCTGTACCTATCTGCGTACTTGCTTCTTAATTCACAATTGCATAATTAAACACTGAATTTCGTCTTCTTCCTAAATACGTTAATTCCCCATTTTCATCTCCGAAGTTACTGTAATTAAGGGTCTCTAACACATTTCCATCCACTCATTTTAACAATTTTTCTCCCCTGTGTGTTACAAACCTTATTTTTTTATTTTTTATTATTCCTTCTCTTTATTTCCTTCTATCTAAATACCATCCTTCCTATCAAGTTTCTCCTGTCATATTTTTATCCATGGCTTTCCTTCCCGTTCCTCTCCTCGTTGTTATTGCTTTTTGACAGACCGAAACACTTGTCCAGACCAAAGATAATTATATCCTAAATGACGTTAATTTATACTTATTTCAGTTTCATGAAAATTAATTTTTATGTTGCACTTGGAGTTAATGTCATCTTTAAGAAAAATATACCATCATACTAAGTGTTTTAAATGTGGGTGTAATAAATATACTGTTGTTAGGTGATAGAGAAAGAAGTCAGTTGCAACACTGTTTCGGATCTACTTTTGAATTACATAGTTGTAAATCCTCGTACTGTCGTTCATGACAAAGTAGCAACTGTTATTTTATTACAAGTTACAGCTTTTACAGTAAGGTAGAATATTTTTGAAACGTTTTTTCCAACACTGGTGCGATTATACACAAGTATACGAAACTATTAAGATTAACTATTAACTGGTGGAGTGTTGCTAATTTTTTTCTCAAGGGTCCCCAGTAGCCCATCGGTATGTTTGCGGCCTAAAAACGCTACAAACTAGGTTTGATACTCATGGTGGGTAGAGCACAGATAGCCCAATGTGTAGCTTTGTGCTTAACTTCAAATAAACATTTTTTTCAAAGCATTTCCAACTTTCAAGTTTATTATTACGTAACAATATGATCTGCACAAAAGATGGAGTTATTTCGGCCTTATATTGTTTCAAATACAACAGTTATATATCGTTATTTTGGACATAAAAATGTTACTTAGTTATATGCACACACGAAACATTGCTTTAAATGTTGGAAGGAATATGTGAATCCTTACGGGTTTTTTTTCATGTATTTACGGAACATTTCCAATACACCGATAATCGTGTGCGCTGGTAATACAGAAAAACAAAGAATTTAAACTTACCAGGTAACTGACTAAGCAGGATGACTAGGAGCAGCAGAATCCACATGGTACACGTTAATCTGGAACCTCGACGGCGAACGATCGAACTCGGTCTCCTCACCAGTGAGGCCCATCTAACCGTTGACTTGGCGCCCATGTCGCACTGAGCAGCATACAGTGGCGCCAGTATTAGTAGATATACGATTCACGGCTTCGAGTTCATTAACAAATTTTCTGTTTAGAAACCTGTAGCACTGCTTCTTGCATCGGCCAGGAGTTTCATTATAAATCTGTCAAGCGGCTATGAACACCTTTTCGATATGCATTTCAGAGAATGTACTTTCTTTTGCAGGTCCGGCACTGCTATATATTCCGTGTCTTTACTCTCCCAACGAGAAGAACGTGGTTATGACGTCACAAGATGAATGTAGAGATGAAGCCCCTACTGATGCTTGATGGCTCCTCTAGCGTTGGGAGACGAACAAAAGGAGAACTCTATCTGGACCCAATATAAGATACCACAACCATATTGTAAATCAACATTATGTAAACATCACATTTATGATAAAAAACAAGAATCTCGTGTTTACTTTTACTTACGCATATAATTTACATAAAACGTAGAATATTTCTCACAGTGTTTCTAGACATAAAAAAGGTCTTATCAAGAAAAATTTCGAAAACACATGAAAGTCGGGTAGGAGGTCCAAACTGCTTTCTCCTGAAATCCGAACATTAATACATTAAATATAATAATAGCATAACACATTATTATTGTTTCATACTACTACAATTATGATTGTGAGACTTAAAATTGATATATTCGCACGATATGAGTATTTCAATAACACTTTAACCCGATTAATTTATATATGTCATTTTCTCTCTAACAAAATTACTAGGAGATACATTACAAGTCTTTACTGTAGCTACTCTCTCTATATATAGACAGGTTAAATTTAGCATAATAGATTAGTTCACGAACCTAGCTTACTTTAATCTACCAGTAAATTTATTGATGTACTAGATTAGACAGATCTACCAGTAGATTGGCCCGGCATGGCCAGTTGGTTAGGGCACTCGACTCGCAATTTGCAGGTCTCGTGTTCGAATCTCCGTCACACCAAAACATGCTTACCCGGTGTCCCGTCCTACTTCCGGATACTCACCTCCAAATTCCTCTTTTTGGAGGTGTGAGAAACACCATACGAAACTACTACCAGTAGATTTATTAATGAACTTGATTAGATAGATCTACCAGTATATTTCTTGACGAACTTGATTAGACAGATCTATCAGTAGATTTATTGATGAACTTAATGAGACAAATCTACCAGTAGATTTATTGATGAACTTGATTAGATAGATCTACCAGCATATTTATTGATGAACTTGATTAGATAAATCTAGCAGTAGATCTATTCATGAACGTGATCTAGACAGATCTACCAGTAGATTTATTCATGAACGTGATCTAGACAGATGTACCAGTAGATTTATTCATGAACGTGATCTAGACAGATGTACCAGTAGATTTATTCATGAACTTAATGAGACAGAGCTACCAGTAGATTTACTCATGAACTTAATGAGACAGATCTATCAGTAGCTTTATTCATGAACTTAATGAGACAGATCTACCAGTAGATTTATTCATGAACGTGATCTAGACAGATCTACCAGTAGATTTATTCATGAACTTAATGAGACAGATCTACCAGTAGATTTATTCATGAACTTAATGAGACAGATCTACCAGTAGATTTATTGATGTACTTGATTAAACAGATCTACCAGTAGATTTGTTAATGAACTTAATGAATTTATTCAATAGCTTAAACTCGATCGCACTGATTGCATATAAATAAACATAACATAGAGTCAGAGTCAAAAGCAATAAATAAAATTTATTCCATTTATGATTTCTATATTGATTTATAATCTTCAAGTATTCATTTGATAAACAAGTGTTTTACGGGTGAAATGAGAAATACTGCTGAAGAAAACAGTAAACACGTGTTTTGTTTGTTTCTCAGCTTTGTCTTGCTACTACTCACGGTAACAAATATATTTAATCTGACACTTGTACTTTTGCGAGTGAGGTATGCTGTTATTTGACACACACTGCACGAATTTACGAAAATACGTAATGAAATGGAGAGGGATGGTCGGTCCCCATTTCATAGTGATCTGTTGGCCAAATAGCTAAACTGAATGCAGATATATTTGATGTAATAACACACTTCTTTCTTAAGCTGTCAGATTGTTCTGTTATTTGTTGTTCAGTGAAAATGTAACCACTTTTATAATAGCGTATATTAGATTTCACTGTCAGGTAGTATTACATAAAAAAACATTTTCGATGATGAATTTAAGAGGTTAATGTTCTAATGTTCTTTTGGCGTTATCTTGATGGTTGAAATATATATATATATATACACAAGACGTTAGAAACGTATCCCTATTAAGTATTGAAAAGTGAAAATGAAGCTTGTAATGACGTTTTATTCTATGCAATTTCTAAACTCAATGTATTTTTTTCCAAAAAGTTAACTTCAACATTTAAATCACTTAACAGTTCTCACTGTTAATATCAGCTCCGCTGTAAGAATTATACCATTTCTAGAAGAAAAAATAATCCATCCTTAAACAATGGAAAAACTTAATAACAATGATAACATAGGTATCAAAGGTTTATGAGGTAAAGTTTATGACAATGAAGAATACACTAACGAAACAATACCGCAAATTCAATGTAATAATTCTCAGACAAATTATACAGAAGTAAGGGAGACTGTAAAAATATTTTTTTTCTGAACGTTTAAATGGTTCTTCACGTGTAAGAAGGAAAACCAAAACACATAACAAAAAAAACTGAAGTATTTATTTTATCAAACATTAGCAGTGAACAATGAACGTATGTTCAGGTTCATCTCTTCGCTAATGGAATGTTTTATCCATATAAGTCGTCGCGAAAAGTTATTTGTTATTTTCGCTTTTTATACGTTGTTTATATTTACCATCGAAAACGTCTCGATGACAAATGAAACATTGTACAGTATGATATTAATAAAATAATTCTTAGTTGTCGTTGTTGTTTATTCTAGGCACAAAGACACACACTGAGCTATCTGCTCTCTCTCTACCGGGAGGAATCGAATCCAGGGTTTAACATTTTAAGTAAACTTTTCGCTGACCCACCCACCAGGGGGATTAATTTTTGATCACCAATTTGAAGTATTTTTTACGTTTTATGTAACAGTTTTTAAATTTCAATGTTTACCAGTGTTATCAATAAATTGTAAAATACGTGAAAATGTATTAAAGACAATTTGGTCACAGAGTAAGCAAGAAAAAAAAAGAATAAAAATGTGTCAGTAAATTAAATGTTGGACAACCTAAATACATTCCTTATTAGTAACGGAAGAAACTTACATCAACATTGTAAAATGATTTAAATAGTTTGAGAAATCTAATTCTAAGAAAATAGAATAAACATTTAATTGTGACTTCTAAGGCTACTATATGATCGTATATTGTAAAAGTTTGTATATATGCTTGTTAATTTGTTTAAGCCTAAAGCTGCACAATTGGCTATCTGAGTTTCAATGTTATAAGACCTAAAGTCACTGCAGACTATACAAACATTAAATTAATTTAATATCTAAAGAAAAGAGGGCGTTAAAGAACATTAATTTCAAAGGACTAGACACAATAAAATCATCAATGTATGAAAAGCGTAAGTTAATCCAGGGTAAAAACGGTCAACTATTTTAACAACTTACTGCTCACAGAGAAAGTTGGATGATCTAGCGTGATTTTAAAATTCGAATTTTATATATATTAGCTCATCTTAGAGTCATTCTACTGTTTGAGCAAGCATATAATAACAAACGGGCTGGATTTGCTTGCTCCAGGAAACAAATTTTACTTTGGTCAATCTGTTTTATCGTTATTCAAGATTGAACTTTAGAGTTAACTATGATATAGGCAGTCTTTAACACATTTCACTGTATTTGATTCTTATTACAAGCCTTATTGCTTTCATGGAAAAAGGCATGAAATTATTGTAACAGTTTTTCCCGCTAATATGTGCTCTCATAATTGGAACAGGAGATGAAGCTATTGTAACGTATTTCTGATTATGATCGTTACGAAAAAACGATACATATACCTTACAGTATGAGGGACTTATTTCTCTAACACCCTCAACCATAAAAAAATCCAGAAGAAATACTAAAATGGAACAACACCAGACTGTATGATTAATAGTGGATTAGGTCAACTCATTTCAAATCTGTTTATCTCCTTGCTCCAACTCACAAAATGTCAAAAGCTTTTGTGAAATATAAGTTCATATTTTGAAGCTAAAAGATAAAGAAGCATCTGGTATTTTTCCGGCTATTTCTATCCTTAACTTTGAATCCAGTAAAATAAAATGTAAAGCAAAAACAGAACTCATGAACCAACCTTGTACCCTTGCATTTGAAAAACTCACTTCACAGCACAACACGGTACAGGAAAGCAATTATCTTTCATAATGAAGCTAAACATTATCAAGGCCCTTTAATAATTAAAAATATAATAATTGTAAAACAAAACATTTTTTAACTAAGAGAGGTATTTATGTGAAAAATATTGACCAGAAAACACTCGTCTTTGCAGGAACATTAAATAGTACGTGTTTAAGTACACAAAAAATCACCTTTATGTAAAATATATTATAAAAATATCTATTCTTTTCCTTTATACATTTAAGCACATAAAGAAGAACACCTTAAGTTGCACGCATGTAAAAAGTACAACTTTATAATTCTTATACAATACATCACTAAATACTTCTCAGTGTATACCCCACAGTTTTAGACATGTAAAATCCCAGGTTTTACACTTTATACCGCAGCTGTCTTAACGAAAAAATAATAATTGCTCAAAATCAATAGGTTTTTACCTCCTGTAGATGTGTATAGCAAGTTTTATATAAGAAAAGACAAGTTAACTGTTATGTTCTAAACTTCTCAAAATGGTTTCTTATATAAGAAAAATTGTATTTTACATCTTTGTGTAGATACACAGCAACTTGTGGACAATAGAATATGCGAATTCGTAATTTTACTTCAAATAGGTTGAAATGAAAAAAATAGTAAACTTTTTGCATTATATATATATATAGCAAGTTGAACGGCAATAGGTTAGCCCCCAGTAGCGCAGCGGTATGTCTGCGGACTTACAACGCTAGAATCCGGGTTTCGATACCCGTGGTGGGCAGAGCACAGATAGCCCAATGTGTAGCTTTGTGCTTAACTTCAAAGAAAGAAAAAAAAAGACAATAGGTTAATGTTTATATTTATTTTCGTTTTAAATAATT